ACTTCACCGAAAAGAAGTTCCTAGACTTCAGCGATGGATACGGTGTCAGGATCGAATGGGCTTCGGTCGGACATCCATGAACTAACGGTCAGGTCAAACGTGCCAATGGCATGGTCCTCCAAGGACTTAAGTCATGCATCTTCGACCGACTCAACAAGTACGCCGGGCGATGGGTTGTAGAGGTCCCAGCGATCCTCTGGAGCCTAAGAACGACCCCAAACCGATCCACAGGGTTTACACCTTTCTTCCTGGCCTACGGAGCTGAGGCAGTATTACCCTCCGACCTCGACCACGGTGCCCCAAGAGTGAAGGCTTTTGACCGCGACCGAGCCGTGGAAGCTCAACAAGACATAGTCGACCTACTCGAAGAGGCCCACAAGACGACCATCATCCAATCCGCTCGCTACCAACAAACCCTCCACAGGTACCACGAAAGGAAGATCAGAGGGAGGATACTCGAAGTCGGTGATCTCGTACTCTGGAGGACCCAATCGACGAAGGAAAAACACAAGCTCTCTCCACCATGGGAAGGGCCCTATACGGTGATCGAAGTAATCTGACCGGGCGCCTACCGACTGGAGGACAACAACGGTAATGTTCTCACCAACACTTGGAACATTGAACAACTACATCATTTTCCCCTAAATTTGGTCTAAACCACTTTTTTAGTTAAACACATGCTCCTGTAAAAGCGCCCCAGCCCGAGCAATTTCAGCCCGGGGCGCTCGGGGGCTCCACAAGGGTACAATATTGGATATTACCTCTCTTTTTTTACTATCACATGATAAACAACTTTGTCCTCGAACGGAAACACATTCATTTCCTTTGATTGCCCTATGTGACTCTGTTCTTACTCCCAACCGAACGCACCCCGCCACGACCTACGGTTACAAGCAGCCGAGCCCCGCGGGCCGTGCCTAGGCTCTTAATAGCTACAGCCTAAGAAACTAATGAGCAGGTGAGAGAGAAAAGGATAAGAACGAAAGTCATGCTAGGATAAAAACAAGGAACAGATATCGTGGTTTTGTCACAAAAGACTGATGTATTCATTGATACAAAAAATTGTTCACACGGGGACTCACCCACAAACTCAACTATTACATTTTCTACTACTACAAATACTACTACGGCCGCTCGACGACATCCCCTGAACGCCAAAGGAGAAACCGTGGCACGCGACGCCGGACATAACCACAACCGCTGGTGCCCCGCCTGGTTCTGCTCCCTCGACTTCGGCGAGCGCAACAGGTACCTCAAAGGCGTCGCACCCATAGATGCTCAACAGAAGAGCATGGAGCTCCTGACCTTCTCATGCAGTCGAGGCAGCTCCTGGGTGGGGGCGCTGCTACTGAGGTATGGGCGCCACGGCGGGAAGAAATCTCATCAAACTTTATGAACTGGCCAAACTGAGTAGCTGCAGACGCGGAATCCTCCACCGACACGATCCTGAGCAACTTCCCCTCCGACAAAGCTCGCCCGGTGAAGATCCACCGGAGAAAATCCACACACGGCTCCATCCTGAAGAAAGCATCGCAGATTAATCCAGCACCACCCGCGGTAGTCTCTAGTTCGGCATCATGCTCCGGGTTCACAAAAGGATCTGTAAGTCCTCCCCCTCGCTCACCCCCTCTCTCACTTAGGAACCGCCGCGACATACAGGCACTCTCGGTGAGAAAGAAGGAGGAGAAACAATAGTTGGAGAATAGGCAAAGGACTGCGACAGAGAGCCCTCTCCCTCCCCCTATTTAAGGAAGAGACACGGCAGTCGAAGAAGGGCAAAAGATCAGAGCGAAAAAACTCTCCCCTTCCCCCATTCAATGCAGATGGGAAACGACGGGACATGCCCTGACCGAAGGGACGCGCACTGACCAACGGAACGACGCCGGGTCAGACAGAACGCCGCCTGGCGAGATGAAACGTGGCCTAGGTATGGCCCACCACTATCGCATGACCAGGCACGAAAACTGAAGCGTCACCACACGCAGACAGCTCTCCGCATCCCCACGCGGGACTTGGAAAAACCCAAAACGGGATCTCCACCGGGAGAGACCATCAGGCTTTCCAAGTCGATCGAACGGCTCAGAAAGACACACCGAGACACAGGTAGGAAGCAAAGGGACGCCCCATGTAGGCCATGCCGACTCCGTCACGAACGACGAGCACGGGTCTCGGTCGGACGTTTCCGACTGAAGCTCTCTAAAACCCCGTCACTCAAGTCATCAAGGTGAACACTACCAACCCCCTCTATTTCCTTATAATCATTTCATACATCCATACGCGCATTCATCCCATACGCCCGTGCCTCCCGGACGATTCGGGCCCTGAACCGCCCGGGGGCTCTGGAACTAAGCATCGCACGTGCAGCGAAATGCATCACAATGCTCCGTGTTGTGTCACGAAGCGGCGGTTGCCTCATTCGATATGAGCAACCAACAGAGCCATGGGAGAAAAACGTAGATGAGGCCCGTGCGGCCCTCGTCTAGTTTGGCAGACTGGGTCATCTCAACCTTCTCGTTCGATCCTGAACCTCTCGCCAAGCCCACAGAATCTCCATCGAGGGGAGACCGTTAGGCCACCCGGGTCGCTCTCTGGAACAACCTAGACATCTGCCGGGTTGCAGGTAAAGGAGTAGTGGAATGTCATAAGAGGGCTATGCCGACCCCATCACGAACGACGGACCTGGATTCCACTCGATCATACCCGTTAGCGAACTCACCGAGCACGTCACTCGAGCCCGAGCGATCAGGACAAGCGACAAAACTCAGCCCCTCCGGTTGTGAGGAACCAAGGATGAGGTAACGCACACCACTCATACCGACCCCTACTAAGGCCCAACAGGGCTCGGTGGCTCAAGACACAAAAAGCCTGGGTCTGCGACCCCGAACTTGCCCCTTCCGACTGCACTCCAAACACCCGGGTCTACGACCCAGATCTCGCCCCATCCGGCTACGCTCCGACTGTGCTCCAAACGCCTGGGTCTATGACCCCGATCTCGCCCCATCCGGCTACGCTCCGACTGCACTCCAAAAACACCCGGGTCTGCGACCCCGATCTCGCCCCATCCGGCTACGCTCCGACTGCGCTCCAAAAACTACCTGGGTCTGCCGCGAGCACCGCCTTGTCGCCTCGCCCGATCCCAAACTAACTAGACTAACTGCCTCACCCGATCCCACGACGCGCATCGATGCCAGGATCCACAAGCTCCATCTCACCCAATCTCTCAACCAACTATACGCCTCGGCTGCACAACGACGTCTTGGTTCAACAAACTCCGTCTCGACTAAAAACACGCACACGCGCCCGCTACCGAACACCCCCTAGACGGTTCTGCCCGAACCGCCCGGGGGCTCGGGGGTTACACCCGCGGGTGCGCTCGCGCGCACCCGTCGTCAGGATAAAAATCCCCCGGACAATTCTGCCCAAATCGCCCAGGGGCTCGGGGGCTCCTGTCGGGTTCATAAACCCGGGGTCCTTCAGGGACCGGCTTCCACGCCAAGGCTCAGCCCAAGCAGACAGCACGCAACTCGTGGGCCGACCCAAGAGTATAAAACAACAGGCTGAGAGGGTGCTCCAGTCACCAACTGAAAGGTCTAGCCGAAGAGGAACAGTGCCCGCTCGTCGACTACTTCGGCCCACCTCTTCGACCAGAGCGCTCACTTCGGACACCAGCCGCCTCCGGATGGCCTCTCCGATCGGAAGGCCTAGCCCAAGCACTACTTTCGACTCCGACCCCGCATCTCCGACCGGGGTTCGCAGAAACCCTGCTCACCGCTCTTCTCCGGCTGGCGCAACCAGAGCCGACTGGGGCCATCCGATCAGAGATGCCCGCTCGGAAAGGACCAGGGCACAAGGGGAGAAGCAAGCCAGGGCGCACAAGTCAAACCACGATACCAGGGACCATACCATATACGCTTGTAGGAACAGTACTCTGCAACCACTCTGACACAAACAGTATTGTAGGCGCCGATATTTTCCTCTACAGTATTGTAGGTGCCATTAACTCCCATATGCCTCTGGGCATCGATAGTGTTGTGGGCGCCGAGATTTACCGTACCGGGTGAACGTGGTGAAACCTCTCACATGTCTCTAGGCATCAGCAATATTTGCAGGTACCGACATCTGCCATTCCTAAAGAAGACAACGCAACCTCCCACATGCATCTGACATTCTACAGTGACATCAACAGTGTTGTGGGCGCCTACCATTATCTTGTAGCCGTCGGCATGGGCAACAAAACTCAGTAGTATACATACCCTCACCCTCTCACTTGTAAAGCCATCTCCTTTATCTATAAAAAGGGGATGCGCTCCCTCCAACGAAGAGGAGAGTCTTTTTGAGTGAATCAACATCGATCAAGTTCACTAGCTCACACCCACAGAACCACCGGGTTCGGACCTCAAGCACACACTTGAACGCTTAGCTCATAGCGTAGCTCCTGTCGCTCTCGGCCCTTCCGACCAGAACCGACCAGACCTCTTGTACACCCTATCTTTCTCCTTCTCGTTTGTAACCCCACAGCAAACTTCGAGCACCTGGGCTCAGGAATAAAGTCACCGACCGACCCAAACTAGACGTAGGGCATGTTGCCTGAACCAGTATAAACCCTGTGTCATTGAGTGCTAGGCCACATCCGATTACAACGTACGGCAAAACTACAAATATTTACTAGTTGATCACTTTTTGTACCAACAAATAGTGAAAGGTGTTGAAACTTAATGCTATGGTGCAAAAAATTTATGTGTTGAAACTACATAAAACACATGGTTACACTGTAGATAGACTCGAATACATATTCTCTGGGTCTGGTTGGGCTGGCTTCAGGTACCCTAAAAACCACCTAACCCTAACTCGTATGATCCGATTGGGTGAAAAAAAAAAGTTCGCAGAAGAGAAATAAATAAAAGCGAGGGAGGAACGCGCACAATTGGGGACACTTCCTTCCTTTCTTCTTCTTCCCCGCGGCAGTCTCTCTTCTCCACCTCTTCGCTTGGTCGGTGGGGATGCGGCGGCTATGGCGGTGGTACCAGCAGTGCCTGGCCACGCACCCGGTGCGCACGCAGGTCGTCAGCTCCGGCATCCTCTGGGGCCTCGGCGACATCGGCGCCCAGGCTGTCACCCACTACTCCGCCCGCTCCGACCGCCGCGGCCACGCCAGCAGCCCCCCTGAGGTAGCAGCAGCAGCAGCCCCAATCGGCCACCCTATTACCGCTCCCTTCCCTGTCCGTGCTCGTGATACGCGTATTCCTTCCGCCGGTTCCTGGACCGGGTCGGGTCGTCCTGGGATTTTGCGAGCTGTTCCTATTCTTGCCCCGGACCGGGTGGCTCCTTGAACTTTTGCGTGCTGTTCTGACCTAGCATATACCATATAATCCGCTGTTGATGCTTAGGGGATGTGATGTTTTATCGGCTCGGAGGAGCTGTGGGTTTGATCGGTAACCTCAATCAGTCTCAAGCCAGTCAACTCTGAATGCTGCGGATAATGCCTGGATTTGTGCCTTGTTTCTTCGGTTTGTGTGTGGTTACCAGCCAAGAAACTAGTGGTTTGGTGGGGAACACCTTGATATGTTAAATATTCTTCGTTTCTAATGCCAAGAGTCTTGTCAAATCTATCTATTGTTGTGGATATCTATAGACTTCTGTGGTGCTGTTAGTGACAACTTATATGAAACTGGTAGTCCTCTTGTGACAATACATCAGACATGGGATAGGAGGTCTGAATCGTCAGTGATGTCTGATGCCACTCCATTTGGGGTAGTATTGGAGCCTTTGTTTTGTGACTTAAGAGGAGTAAATGGGTAATGGAATGAGATGTTGAAGCCACCGCCCTCCCCCCGTTCAAAAGATGGAGGTTTGCCTGCTAAATTGCTTATTCTGCAAATTGGGTTAATGTTCCGTCCATGTGATTTATTGTCGACCTTTTGGTTGCTGTGACCTTCAGGGCGGTTATAGTTTGCTGTCCATTTTGATGTGTACAGCAAAATAAAGTTGGGGTGGGCTTCCTTGTATTCTGTTAATACGTACTGATAGAGTTACACTTTTCATTTCTTTCTTTGATAGTAATGGTTAGTCATTTGTCTGGTTGTCTTAGCTTCAGATGTGCTTGTTTGTTCTTTCAACTCTGAGCATTGGCAGCATTGTGATCTTGATTTGATCATCATTAATATGTGATTTACATAACATGCTTGGCTTCTTTCTAAGCAGCGAACCAGCCTTTGAATTACTTGTAGCTAGAGTTCATTTGTTAGGTTTTTTCTATAAATAAAGTCGGTGCAGTGCAGCTGAAGGGCTGATTATGTTTGCTACGTATTGGCCAGTTAGTTGAACAAGATATTTATTGCTGTTCATGGTGCATTTGTTCAGATATGAGATTGGAAATTCAAGGAATCCTGAGTGGCATTTCGTTTGGTCTTGGGGACCCCATATAAACTATCTGTGCCTCCATGGGCAGTCTATCAATTATTCTTTGTTTGGCTGTCTACCCCTAATTTCTTCATTCTTCAACTTCATTGTTACCCCATTCAACAAAAGTCTGTTTCCTTTTACAGGATAAAGATAATAAAGACAATAAAGAGTTTAAAGTTGATTGGAAGAGGGTGGGCATCACAAGCTCCTTCGGATTTGCCTTTGTTGGTCCAGTTGGACATTACTGGTTAGTTCCCTGTATTTTATCACATGCCGTTACATCTACCTGTTTATATGTATATTTTCTTTAGAATCATAGGTTCATGTCTTCCAATTATTAACAATTAAAAACTTGTAAGTTGTAACCATAATCCTACGCCCTCAGTCTCACATAGTCACCACACATCACAGTCAGTAACACTCTCAGACAAAATAATAAAATTATAGGATAATAGAGAAGATAGAGGATGTAATCCCAATTCTGCACTGCTGTTCTCCATTTTAGGTATCTAGGTGATAGTATGAGTGGCAGTTCATGGTGTCATAATATCAATAAGGTTGGTGACTGCTTCTTGAAAATTGAATAGATTTAAGAACACATGATTTGCTTGGATACGCTGGGGTACTTTCTAGATCAATAGGAGTGCAGGGGTTTGACTACTGGTGTAATTGATAGAGCCAATGGATGCAAGCATTTATACAAATGCAGGTGTTTCTTTCAATATAGTAAATCACAATATAATGTTACCAACAGCACATTAATCCATGCATGACAACATGAGTGCACAAGTGATTCTTGTCTCACCGAATTTTGCCCCTCTATTTAGTTATGTGGTCAGGCAGTTGACTTTCCACAAGGGGCAAGCATCAACTTTAATTAAGAGTAGAAGTATCTTGGGCTGTACTTCACAGTTGAACATCCTTGTTTGTTCATTTGTATACTCAGTAGTCTACTTCAACATCGATTTGATTTCCACCATGTCACGTGCTGTAACGATGCTATGTTTTGGAGAGTTAGTAGTTCACCACTGGACTATGTTCTGCTATATGAAAATGCAGATAAACAATATGATCATACAGGTTTTCATTTTTGGACAGAGAAATAATCTAATAAGATATCTGCTGTGGGAACAAACCCCTGCACTCCTATTCATTCCCACCTTGACTTATTCATTTGTGATGAATGTTGATTCCATAATCTCCTCACTTATCTGCTGCACTTTGTTGTTCATTTGCAAAAGGCAGTTAAGATTTTGTGGTATGGATGCTTTATAAATTTAGTGATTTGCAGATGAAAGCAGTTCTCTCTTTATTTTTAGGAGTAAACGATACGAACTATTGTCAATTGAACTGTTATATGAGATGTTGCTTGCATCAATATCTGTCACTAAGGCTTTGGTTTTGTTGTATAGGTATGAATACCTGGACCGCTTCATCCGGCGGAGATTTCAGCCTAATACATTCAAATTTGTTGCCTCAAAAGTTGCCGCAGATGGTTTGCTCTTTGGACCATTAGACCTCCTCCTGTTCTTCTCATATGTTGGTCTCGGTCAAGGAAGGAGCGTAGAGCAGGTGAAGGAAGATGTGAAAAGGGACTTCATTCCCGCTCTGGTGTTAGGTGGAACCATCTGGCCTGCTGTGCAAATCGCAAACTTCCGCTTCATCCCGGTGCGGTACCAGCTCTTGTATGTGAACTTGTTCTGCCTCTTGGACAGTTGCTTCTTGTCATGGATTGAGCAGCAGGGAGATGCTTCCTGGAAGCAGTGGTTCACGTCATTCCAGAAAATCGAAGACCAGAAGAGTAAGGTTTGATTTGGTTACTTTGAGTCATGTATGGTCCTTTGTCTGGATCAATACCTGTAAACTCTAGTTGATCCAGGAAGATAATGGTAAAAAGCAGAAGTATCTGGCAGCAACTGTTTAAGTGAAATTGCGATGCCAGCAAAGCTGAACATTGATGTCGTTGTAGAGAATTCTTTTTAATCTTTGACGGGAGGAAATGGTTGATGACTTGCTCTGTTAAGTGAAGTGCCTGTTTTGCTGATGTGTTAACTTTCGTGTGGGGAGTATGTTGGTCTTGAGGTGATTCGCTGAGCAATGTTGTTGGTAAGCTGAAGATGCTTTGGCATGCTCTGAATTCGCAGCATACCTGCACTCTGCAGTGCTAGAGAAAACGCCCGTCTGCATCCTGCTGTATCAGGTGCAGTTGAAGCAGAGCTTTAACCGTGAAAACACCTGCCGGGAGTGCAGGTATGCTGCGAATTCAGTCAAAACACCTGATCTAATAAGGCGGATGCATTTTAGTTGTGATCAGTCAAACCATGATGAATGATTGAACGAAGCAATCAGTAGTACTGTGAAGGAACAAATCAGTTATAGCCGGTGTTTTAAATCGTGGCCTATGCCGTTTAGCGACCTGTCTTCTCAATTAGCTAATCGTTGGCTAAACCATGTTATAGCGACTCAATTGTAAATGGGGGCAAATACGTTGACCTTAATCAAATAGCTAATGGTTGGCTAAATCATGCCATAGCGGCTAAATTGTAAATGGAAGCAAATACCTAGACCTTCCTCAAACAGCTACATGCGGAGATAGGTGCAGCTGTAGCTGAAGATTTTAAACCCTGGTTATATATCGATAAAAAAAATGTACAAATCCCACCCTTGCACCATGTAGGCCTGGTAACCAAAGACGCAACAAAGACTCGGCAGCATGAAGAAAATAATGGTGATGTAGAAAGACAACTATCAATGGATAATGCTCACATGGGCAGCAATGTCTTCACTGGCTGCACCAATTTGTTGATGGTAGTTTCAATATTTCTCTTTTTCAACTTGTAGAATTAGTTTTAATATTGTTTTTTTTCAACTTCTCCTTTGTCTTTGCAGGGTCCTAGTGACATTGTGGAGCTGGAATGTTTCCTTAATTCATTTGTGTGCAGATTCTGGTCTACTTGCTTGGGATAAATAAGTATACCAAATACTTCCTCTTTAGCTTTGTTCTAAGTAACGTCTTTTAACTTTGACCGTGTTTTTTAGAAAAATATATTGACATCTAAGAGTTCAAAATAAATTCTCTATCAAAATATGTTGCAGGAAGTATCTAATAAACCTGATTTGATGTTCTAGATGTTTTCACATTTTTTTAGAAACTTTATCAAAATAAAAGGAGTTTGACTTAAAAGCCAAAGTGAACTATAATTTGGAAAAGAAGGATTATAATATAATGTGGCTACGAAGGATTCTGACCTTCATATGCTGTAACTGAAGGCCAACTTTGAAAAAAAAATATATATTAACAAATTATAGAATTTATTTAGAGAACGAAGTAGGCTGCATCTAGCTATCGTTTGTTACATTTTGAAGAACCACCCTCTGAGAAATCAGAAGCACGTTGCACGTCGCATGATTCAGCTTACAGTTTCAGTCCAGAATGAATGGCAACTACACCACCCACGAGGTTCTCATATTCCACCCTCTGGAATCCAGCTTCCTCAATCATCTGAGCAAACTTTTCCTGCAAAGGTACAAGTCTGGTCAGCATGTAAGTCATTCACCCGTCTTCTAGCTTAACATCTATCCCAGCAAAAACACTATGCCTGTTTTGCAAGGTACTAATTAATCTTGCATAAACCCGAAGATGGTTGAAGTAGAAAATGCCAAAAAGAATGTAATCATATGTTCATGTTTGTAGATAACAAACAAAAGTGCTAATAATTCACAGCACCATTACCTGATTTGGAAACCGACGGATGCTCTCAACCAAGTATTGATACGACTGCTGATCACCAGCAACCAGCTCTCCAATAGTCGGAATCACAGAAAACGAGTAAACATCATAGCTGAAAAAAAGGGCAGAAAATTTGAAAGAGAACAAAAAAAGATATTGTAGGACATAAAACACTTGTTCTACTTTCTTCCACTGCCAATGAGAGAAAAGAAAAGCTCACACTGTTCACACAAGGCCCTAGGCAAGGGCAACATTAGCAATTTTTTTCAAGGAACAAAAGAACTACATCACTGCCCTTTTCCATTGACATTAATAGATAGGAAAAAAACGATCACTTTCGGAAACCCTTAAACATTGTTTAACACAGTGCTACAGGTGGCAATTTGTCAACATGGTTGGCACGATGAATTGTGGCTTTTTGGAAACTAACTGTGAGATAGTTGAAAACATTGTAGCCCATGTCTTTTGTTGTTTAACTACTTTATCTTTTCTATCTTGCATGAAGAAGAAGAATAAAGGCATGATTGATGAAACCTACATCTCTTTAAAAACAGGGACATCCACATGACTCAACTCCAAGCATAGGAACCTGCCCCCTCGCTTTAGAACCCTGAAACAAGACAATTGATGTGACAGCAATAAGATTTTAGGACCATCAACTAAGCAAAAAGACTTGAAATATGCCAATTGATGTGACAGTAACGAAATTTCAGATCCATCAACTAAGCAAACATGATAGAACATGAAAAGCTTAATCCATGATACTGCACATGAAGACGAAAAACTTAATCCAAGGATACAGCGCATGAAGAAATAGAGCAAATATTGAAGTTGAAACAGTGGGGACATCCAGCTCGCGACATACTTGAAACATCAGCAATAATAGTTGTTAGGTTTCTAAATTAGCCAACCTGTAAGCTTCTGATAGAGCTTTCTCAATGTGCGTCACATTTCTGATCCCAAATGCGATAGTGTAACCATCCATAGATCCATCCTCAAAACTCAGAGCTTCTGCATCTCCTTGTATCCAGCTAAGACAATGTTCTTCGCTATACCCTGAAAATAAAAATCAACTGTTGAACAACATAACCCACACTTGAGGTAGAGACGACAAAATATATTACAAAGTTGATGCTTGAGACCTCTTTCTGCAGCACGCTTCTTCCCAACATTTAGCATATTTGGATTAATGTCACAGACATAAATGTGGGTGTCTTCTTCGGTTTCAGTAAGAGTACCCTGCATAACTCTGTGACCCACGCTCTTAATTTTTTCCAGTACACGAAAAGCAACATCGCCTGAAGTCATAAAAATGACACCAGCAGTCATTGAATTTTTTTCCTACTACAAATTTCTGCCAGTACAAGAACTCCTGGCAATAGAACCTTTCAACAGAAAGCAGAAACAAGAAGCATAAACAAGACACATGGTAGCAACTAAAGGACTATGGTAGCATTGTTTAACATTTGTACCGAAATAATGCTGGCCTCTCGGAAAGACTAATTACAAATATATACTGATTATATAGATAGATTGAATGGAAGACTATTAAGATTATTAAGATACCCCGAATTAATAATTTTGTGTTACTGGTAAAAGTTTGTATTTGTTATTTCTATATGGTGCAGCTGAAAGCAATGAGGGAAGGGGATGGATGTGTATTACCTGTTCCACCAGCCACATCGAGATGCTTCATCCCCGGAAAGGGATTCAGCTTGGAAATAAGCCTGAAAGAAAAGAAACAGAGTTTGAGTGATAAAGGGAGTTGGTTAGATTGTGAAGATAAAAGAAACGGAAAGAGCAGGCAGCAGCAACCTGTCCTTCCACAGCCTATGCAGGCCGACGCTCATGAGATCGTTCATGAGGTCGTAGCTGGAAGCCACGCTGCTGAAAACGTTGCCAACCAATTTGCTCTTTTCCTCTTCGCGCACCTGCTTGTACCCTGACGAACTACGAGATTTTAGGATCTATATAAGCGGGAACAATGGATACGAGTTACGATCAATGTGTACCGAAGCTGGTGGCGTGGGAGTGGAGGAAGGCTGCCGCCGTTGGGTTGCTTGGGGCCTGAGCCTGAGAGGGAAGGAGTAGGCGTCGTTGGAGGCTCCAACACGCTAGCCTCCTTGCGGCCTGCATCAAGGGCGGATCTAATATCTAGTAATGGGACCCAGTGGGCGCTCTTCGCCGGCGAAGAGATAGGCGAAGGCCTCGGCACCTGGCGTAGGGTGGTGGCGGCGGTAGCCCACCCAGTCGTTGCAGAGAGAGGGAGGGAAGGAGGGAGAGAGAGAGAGAGGGAGCGAGCGCACGCTGTGTGAAGGTGACGGATGCAGCAGCAGCGGCGGCGGCGGCGGCGAACGGAAGGGAGGAACGCGAGGAGGGAGACGGAAACGATGACGGTTGGGCTCGAGATGCATGTTTTTCAATTTGTGCCATTATAACCTCGCACCATTGTTATTCAAGAACTATGCCACTGTCATTATAGTTCTCACTAAAGCTGAAATACGCCATTATATACGTATCCAGCATCTTTAGGCCCATGTGCAGGTGTACGAACAATTTTGTATTTTTATATAGACCAAAATACCTCTCTCACTTTATCTCACTTGCAAGCGAGCCCAATGTGTCGTCCCCTTCCCTCTGTCTCTTCCTAGTTCGATTTGTGCGTATATCTGCTGCTCCACTGGTGTGAAACTACTGTTCCTTCCTTGTCTAGCACTGTTGGTATTCTGGGCTCTCCAGTTCCTGTTGTTACTGCCTCCACGGTGTGATCCCTCTGATTTCCACATGCCTCTACCGCCACCTCTACGACCACCTCGACCAAAACCACAATTCATCCTGTTCCATCCACTCGAGCTAGATGATTCTGCATTGGCGAAGTCCTGTGCACCTGCAACATTTTCTCTATACCAACTTAGCGTGTTATCTTGGTGTGTCGCAGCTTGGTTCCAGCTATGCTTTGGTTGCTTTCGCGCATATACTTGGCCAGTAAACCGTCTCTTGTTCTGTCCTCTGGTGCTAGTTGATTCTGCAAAAGCTGTACGGGGAGGGCCCATTGGCTTATCATTTCTCCAGTTTGGAACTGAGTTCCATTTTATCTTATTTTGCATTCCCTGGTGTTCCTGTACAGTGCTGCACATCCCAGCCCTACCCATAAAATCATGCCTCAGGGAATCACCTTTTGGCTTGTCTGTCCATGATATTGGTCTAGTTCCACCCAAACATACCACCTCATCCTCTTGAACTTCGTCCTCTGGAAGCTGGTCAACGTCATACAAGCATAAACTGTGAGGAACATCTGTCTTCTGTTCAGTAGCTCCTATTGTTCCAACGGCTTCGAGGAAGTCATATAAATTGTACTCTCTGAGTATTTCGTTGCTTGCAGACTGAGAGACACCAAAATGAGTTCATAATAAATGAGAAATGGTTGATGATTTTGTGCTGTGCAATAAGAAGAGCATAGATAGGTGAAATGGCCAAATTACCTGGTTCTCATCGTTCCAGTGGATTTTGAAAGCTGAGCCAGTCCCGACTGCTGCATGATTACCCCAAGAGCAGGTTGACACAACACTAGCCACCTTCTCTGCACTCTTCCGGAAGCATTG